GGCTGGCGACCCCAAGGGGGAGGGCCTTCTCTGTGGGAGCACCCACCCTCTGGAACGAACTGCCCCCAGAGATCAGGGTGATCCCTGATCTCCCTTCCTTCCGCCGCGCCCTCAAGACGTGGTTGTTCCAGCTCGCGGGACTGGCCTAAGGGATTTTAAAGGGGTTTTAATTACTTTTAAATTTGACGTATTTAAATATCTCTTTTTAACCAATTTTTAATTAGATGTATATGTTAGTATTTTAATCATTGTCAGCCGCCCTGAGTCCGCAAGGAGAAGGGCGGGATATAAATGCAATTATAAATAAATAAATAAATAAATACATAAATATTTTTCACTGTTGTATGTTATGCACTTGCTCTTTTGCATGTAATAAGCATCCTTGACCAAGATTACCAAGTCAGTGTGTTTTAATAGCTTGGTTCAAGTCTTCTGTTAATATTCCTTTACAATTCAGTTGCAGCCACAACTTTTAAAACATCTCAATACTAACTACCCTTTCTTAGAAGAAAGACTCATCAAACTTAATAGAACTTTTGTTCAAAGAAAAGCAAGTATCACTCCAACCTTATAAAAAAAATCTATATTTGATTAGAAATAACCACTGTTGAATTTGACACTCAACTTACACCCAACGTACACCCAACTAAACAGAATCCTAGCATTCCAAAGTTAGGAAAAGCAATGTTATTTGAGATGGGCTTTAAATTAGTTATTTACAATGGATTGAAATCAGGCTTAGCTTTAAAATAGATTGTGGGAGTTACTGGGACAAGTTATTGATGATTAACTCTAAGTTCCAAAGATTTAATAGATGTATTATTGTAGGATCGTCATTCATAATTTATAGTAGCTGTTATTTTTAAAGAGTTACATTTTTCGTACTTTTGTGAGTCTTAACCAAATGAAAAGTAGAATAAGGGAGAAAATGAAAGATTAACTCCCAATGGCTTCATTGAGAGAAGTAGGGCTATATTTAATTCTTCCTTTAAACAGATGGAGCTGAAAAGAGCTTTGGCTGAAACTTTGTCACTGAAATACACAGAAAATGTGAATATTTTCAAAAGAACCTGGGCCTCTGTAGACAGTAACAGTTTAATACTATACCCACATTCACAAGCTAATTTTTAAGCAAGTGTTTATCTCATATTCTTATTGATTTTACATTTTTAGAAATATAGTAAACAAAAGTATAAGGACTGATTGCTTTAGGAAACTGGGCAACAGAGACACATTTTGCATTTACTAGAGTCTTTTATTAAATTTTATTATAAATCAAATTCCCAGGTTGACATTTGAGAGCTTTATTTGTTTTTAAAAAGACAAATTGCATTATTACTTTTATTATTACTATTACCACATAGTACAATAATGCAGATGTCTACCTACAGAAATTTTTGGTGTTTGCTGTGTATTATCTTCCTGAGGAATAGATTCATTGTAACACTTCCTTTTCTTCCTCTTTTCCTGTTTTTTTTTTCTTGCTTCCCAGCTGACCTTTTCTGAAGCCATACGAAACAAAGCCAGATTATCAATCACAGGAAGCATGGGAGAAAACGGTCGCGTTCTCACTCCAGATTGCCCAAAGGCCGTACACGCTGGAACTGCAATTAGACAAAGTTCAGGATTGGCGGTAATTGAATCAGATCTACCATAAAAACCAAAAAAATAATCGAGTGCCTTAATTAACCTGTGTCAGTGACTGACGGGAATACAGCACGGACTGTAACATGACACGGGAAATGTCCTTGATGAACTTAGAAACAGGCTGAGTATGGGAAGGGCATCAAAACGTGTCGTCAGCAGCCAATGCGTGCATGGTCTCAGTTCGGAAACCCAAACTCAGATTTTATATCAGGAAAAAGTTTGTGTGTATGTATGTCTGTATGTATGTATAGATATGTGATATATATATGTATGCATATTTGTGCATATATATATATATGTGTGTGTGTATACATTTATATGCATATATATACACACATACACACATACATATATACATCTATATAGATATAGATATATATATATAATTCATAATTTAGTTTTGTGGGGGGGAGGGGTTGGGACAGAAATATGAAGAGCAAGAGATTTCTCTCACAAGGACTTGCCAATTTAGCGCATTAAAACTATGAGGAACAGACTTGAGGAAAGACCGTGTGTCTTTCTGTCAGCAAAGTGGGCAGCCAGTGGCTGTAGAAATCAATGAACATGTTAACCTGTGTCTCCAGATGAACAACATTATACAATGGGAAGAATATCCAGCTGTGGAAACAAGTTACTAAACTGTGAGAAGGAAAAAAAACATGTAAATCCTGTGAAAAAAAATTAAAAATACATTTTTTTCTTTGGGAACAAAAGAGGAATATTGAAACATGCTTGCTTTTTAATGGATGTAAATTCAGTAGTGGAGAACACAATTCTTTTTTCTAACCATCTTAGGGAACAATTCATTGCAATAACTGATATAAAATGGCATCACTGTAATAAATTTCAAAGACTTTTTTTTTACATTGTTGGCCCTCCTCTCATTTGCTGTTACCGTCATTCTGTTCCATCATTCAGTGTTCGACGGATTTGCATCTGTCTAACTACAAGAAACCAACAAATACGTTTAGAGAACACCATCAGTCTGCTGTGTAGAATCAAAGAGACTACGGGTCACTCATGTTACCGATATTATTTATAATCTTGTTCTGTGTAAAAAAAACTGTGGTTTTTGTACCCACCAAAAAGGAATAAAATAACAACTGTTCTTTTAATACCTGGAGTGATTTTTCTGACACGAGGAACGCAGTTTGCAATTAAGACAAGTTATATTAACACGAACTTGTGTACTAATGACATGAAGTATGATGAGTATTTTTTTTAAGGATGGAAAAAAAGTAACTTCTTTGAACTTTGCCATTGATTCAGTCCATCACAAGTAAACATACTGAGAAAAGCAATGCTACCAAATATGAACTTTAAGGCATGTATATATGTAGATTGCTCAAGAGAACCTAAGCTGTGACAAGCAAAATATAATTTTATACCTTGCATTCATTATAAAAATTAAACAGATGTTATTCTGCATTTTATTTTACCCATGGCATCCCATTGTTTATTGAGAGAACTGCAAGGAGCTTTGTTTAGTTTTAAAATTCCACTATGAGCAGGAAAAGGCATATTCAGCTATTTCTTTGACTACTGAGCTTTCACTAGACCATAGTTTTGTAATCAGTTTGTTTTAAAACCATTTTTCAGTGTTTCTTGCAATTTTTGCAGCATTCAAGTATGTGAATGGAGGGTTATCAGTCAGAAAGTAAGAAATGTATAAATACTTATTGTTAACAGTTGGGAGCTATTGTGAATCTGGGTCTGGATTTATGTGACATATTCATAATTCAATTCCTTTATTGCTTTCTCACCAAAGCTCCAGAAAATAATCATTATCACTTGAACAACTGTTAAATTAAAATGTGGAATCTGAATTTTAAAAAAGGGACAAAGCTTAGTGATATCATTCATTGCTAGCCAACCAATATCCTATTTACAATTATATTCTGGAATCACTGACCTAGTTTTCCTTATTCTTACTGAATCCAACTGCACATTTATGTATATTTGTATGCATACAATTTTTGTTTTACATTTATGGTAATTTTCTCCTTCTCAACAGAGGCCTAGATAAAGCTTTCCAAAACAAAATTCAAAAATAATCTATATCTTGCTTCTCTTTTTTCTTCTTCTTCAAGTTAAGGATTTTTATTTTATTTATTTACAACTTTTGTAAACTGACTCAGTTCTAAAAGATAGTTTACAACAAAACAGAAGTAAACAAATTTATGAATCAGACTAAGATAACAGTGATACCTATGATGATGCCCACAATCAAATTCAGGTGAAAAGCACACTGAAACAGCAATTTCTACTGCCTTGCAAAATGCAGGAAGAGATACCAAACTAAATCCAGAGGCAGGGTGTTCCATAGCGTCAGTCTTCAACTAAAAAATCCTTTTGCCTAACTTGGACATCATGCACTCTATAAGAACAAAGGAGATGCTCACTCTCCTCTAATAATGAATTATTAGTTTAACTCATTAATATGGCCACCCATTTCATGGATGTGACTCTGAGCATATTAATAGCATATTAAATGCTATTAAATAGCATTTAATAGCATATTAAAGACAATATGAAGAAAGCATATCATCCAAAACAGATGTTCAAACTAGATAGAATTTTTGACATGGCAATACCAAATGTTTCCCAGAATTGTACTCTATAGCAGGGGTCCCCAACCCCCGGTCCATGGACCGGTACCGGGTCACAGCATGCCAGCAACCGGTTCACACAAACAAGCAAAGCCCCATCCGTGGGATGAAAGCAGCACACAAAACCACGCCCCCTCTGGTCCGCGGAAAAATCTCTCTCCATGGAACCAATCCCTGGTGCCCAAAAGGTTGGGGACCTCTGCCCTATAGGACTTGAAAGATAATAAACAGGTCTCGCATTCAGCCTAGAAGGCAAAGAGTGCAATAACCATAAAATTAAGTTTTGGTGAAGTTATCCTGACAATAATATGGCCACCACATTCTGCACCTGCTGCAGCTTCCCAGTCATTTCCAAAGAGCCCCACATGGAATGCATTATGGTTGTTCAACCAATGTGGGAGATGGGATGGAGGTTCTTGCACTTGAAAGAAGATTGATTAAAAGGACTCAGTATCCTTTCAGTCACAAAGAAAGTACTGTTAAGTTAAGGGGTTCCAAATTAAACTTCCTGTGAAAGGAAAGGTAAAATGTGTTTAGCGCTTTTACTAAACAGGGCAAGAAATTAGAAACTGACCTGCCAAAATAATGGAAGTTGACATCTGAATTCTGGCACCTAGCTTAAAATCTTTAACTGAGAATCATGAACCAAAATTTCCACAAGATATACCCCATGCTCCTTAGCCAAATTGGGGAGGGGGGGGAGTATCTCACTTGTTCTTAAAATGGATCCCAATCAAGTACACATCCATTTCTGCAATAAAGTGTCAAATATATAGCAGAAAGACTCATTCAGCAAACTATACCATGCTGTTTTCAGTGATATCTTCATTTTTCTCATGATGTGGGGAGTTTCTCCTGGAAATACCTAATATTCCCAATTATTGTGGGAATTTTACTAATACAATTTTCTTTATGTGAAATCAGTGCTGAGTCAACAACAAAAACTCTTGGAAGCAGAAATGTAAAATTAAAAGGGTAGTAATAAAGTTATGAAGATGATATCCACACAACAGCAAACACTAATGTTTATTGATTTATTCCTCTTTGTAGAACTTGGCTGCTACAACACTCTTTTAAGTATTTTTTTCTACCTAATTTAAGAGATAGATTTTCCAGACATGCTCTGCATTGGGAAAAATATTCAGGGGAGGAATAAAAAAAATCTTCCTAAATATTTAAGGAAGGGGAAATGCTGCAAGCAGAATAAATAATTAGGCAGCTCATCCTCCATTATTTCCCCACATATGCAATGCAGTGAATTATTATATTCCCTCTTACTCTCTGAGGTGCTTGCACTGCAAAGCCGATCATTAATAGTTGTATATTAGCAAGCACCAAGAAAGTTTGAAACCAGAAGCAAACAGATGCTCCATGATTTTATATTTCTGCCTTGCAAAAATATATCTACACTGTCATCTTCCTTGTGTTATATCTTCCTTATATATGCCATTCCTGAGAAGGTTTCCCATATTTTCTATAGTGCAACTTTATACCTGTAGATAGCCCAAAGGTGTTTTTTCAAAAGGCAACTGGACTTTGTTTTTTCCTTGACGATATTTCGCTTCTCATCCAAGAAGCTTCTTCTTCAGAACTGAAGCTTCTTGGATGAGAAGTAAAATATCTTCAAGGAAAAAACAAAGTCCAGTTGCCTTTTGAAAAAACACCTTTAGGACAACCATGACCTGGATGACTGAGAATCTCCAGAGACCCTTGTAGTTAGCAATTACAAAGTTAACTTCGATACAATATTAATAGTGCTCTGAGACTCTCCATAGCACAAGCCTGTCCTTGCTTAGAGAGATTAATTTGTCCATTAAGTCAACTTAAAAAAACATTAATTCAGTAATTGAACAATGCAATCAATGAGAGAGATGTTACAAAATTTGAACGGTGAACTAATACATTTACTGTATGTATCAATCACTGAAAGATTTTTTGTTCTGCTATGATAAACTTCCTTTCCTGCCTACTTGCTACAACATAACTGGTCTTTATCTGTGTATTTTATGTTCTGAGTTTTCCAATCTTTTCTCCACACAGTTTTCATATATGCATTAATTTACTGCATGTCATGTGTTAAGTCCTCATAATGGATTTGATCGAGGAGTGGCATTTTTCACCAGCTTCCCTCTAGCACATAGATAGGCAACCCATGATATGCTAGTTTCCTGCCTTTAAAAACCATTTAACATATGTAGATATAAATAAAATTGTTGGGCCAGATTTTGAAGTTAAAGTATTATGGAGTTTAATGCCCAAATGTTTCTTAAAACCATCAAACCTGTCACTGAGCTTAAAGTCATGTTTCAAAACCAAAAATAAATACCCAGAAGAGCAAAAAACTTTGGGCTCTGCCTATTCCAAATGAAATTTAAAAATGCAGCCCCCAACCACACCTTCTGTATTACAGAGACATGTTGTAGAGAAGATTAGCCGTGCAGGATAAAGGACAGTGATTCAATATAAGTGTTACCATGGAAGTGAGCAGATGTCTTTTTACAACATTTCTGGAGAGATATGAAACATTTTAGGACAAACAGATAAAAACTTAATTACAGTCACAGGCTAAAATACAAGGGAATAACTGGCCCCAATTTACAAAACAAATACACTAAAACAAGATTGTGAGCATCTGGTATAAGCACAGCCATAGTTCAGTTTAGTGATAAATTTGGGCTTACAGTGGTAATCATTATTTGTTTTCAACAGGAAACTTTCCCATAAGGAATAATGTAGTGAGTCACAAGGCACCCAACACCACATTTTAGCTTGTGCATTGAGTACCAAACAAACTGTGAGTACTGGGACAAAATTTTCACAACAAAATGTGTTGAGTACCAAAATGTGGTGAGTTTCAAAGTAGTTGAGTACCAAGGTGTCACCGTATTAGGATAACCAAGGCTTTTTTTTGTCATAGAACGCCCAGAACAGAGTTCCGGCACGTTTTTTAGATGGAACCTTGTAGGGTAGGCAAGGTGGGTTGTATGACATGTGTGAGTTCGGGCACCTTTTTTTTTTTGTTGTTTACAAAAAAAGCACTGAGGATAACTATAACAATACAATGTAAAATTGCTTCTGATTAGGGATATTCTGAAGGCCCTGGTAATTTCCAAGCTTTTATGTTTTGCTATTCTGTATGAAAGAGAGTAGTAAAATTTAGAAACTTAGAAATCTCTTAAGTTTATCCATAATCAAAAGCAATATTACACTGTTATAATTACCGTAATAAAAGGTACCATAAAGCAGGATATGTGCCAAACTACACTTTGCACTCAAACTACAAAGATAAATTCATTCTGTTCCTGAACCTGCCTTCCAATCTCACTTATCAAAGAATATTTAAAGCAAGTGAGTGTAAACATTCTGTAGTATTTAGGAAGTTGCTTA